AGGAGGAACAAAGCAATGGTTGTGCAGGTCACCAGGGGTTTGTGGAGACCTGGTCACCTCACTTGACCCTGAAGTGAAGTGACCCCACTTTGTACTAACTTGGGACTTTTGAAGTTTCCAAATGCAAGTGGACCTAGTGATTTAGAACAGCTGCAAGAACATATGCTAAGGAAGTAATTTGATTTTGAGCCTTGGTGCTTTGGACAGTCTTAGGAATTCCAATTCTGAGGTTTTGTTGGCTTCTACAGCTTGACTGGGACATTGCAAGATCGTATTATCCTTAGTGAAGCGTCTGCTTATCTGGCTGCACATCCACCTGTTCCTCCAGGGCATGCATGCATACACATCCATTAGAGACTTACAGGTGTGCAATATTACTCGCAATCCACCATTTCGGATGCATAGAAATTAATGGTATATTATGTTTATCAAAGGCATGCATATTTTCAGCTTCTTGGTAAAGTCTATATAATCAAAAAGCAGTAGAACTGTCTTCATAAAGATGAAACTATTGGCAACCATATAATGTGTCAATACAGCATCCAACAAAATAGCAAACGACTTTGAGGTTGCTATAAATGTGGGTTATATTTATTCAGAATCTTCACAAAGTACTTGTGATTGAATGCATGCAATATACCATGGTATGTATTGCAGTTTATGAATCATTATTGTTATTCATTGCAATACAAAAGTCTGGCTAATACTCATCGTCACTACACACACGCACACATTCTGCTCTCATCTGGCAACGCGTTCAGGATCACCTCAAGGTGCTCCCTGCGTCTGCTGAAGCTCTGACTTGAACTCCTGCCATCTGGTTCCAGTTTTGATAGTTTATGCCTGTTTTACAAACAAAACAAAGTAATGTCTCCTCCAGGTATTTAGGGAGATATTTCAGCCATGAAGTCTCCAGATCAAACTGTTGGAACAGAGATGTACAGATGGCATCAATCAAGTCTGGATGAAGACTAAACAAGGTTCAAGGGGATACTGGTCAGTTCTTTCAACAGATGATAATGGCCATTTACATACATGCATGGATTACTTACATGTCGGCCTTCAAGTTGTCTTCAAGAGCAGTTAAGGGCCATTACTGTGAATCTGACCATTGCAGTGACATCTGCTGATGCTGCTTGAGGCTTTAATGGGTTTAACTCTCATGGTAATTGTTGGGATTAGGTCTTCCTGGGTTTAATGGGTGCTTTGTGGTTTGATTAGAGTTTCAGGTGACTAATACTGATGGACTGACAGATTAATTCAGTGTAGATACAGGTACTGCTTTTGAAGATAGCCTATCCCTGAGACTGACAACACAATAAGGCCAAATTTAAAAAAATGTTGTAGTTCCAATTACACCTCTTTAAAATTTAGTGTAGGTAGGTCGGATATTTAATTTTTACATATTTTTTTTGAGAAGTAAAGTACAAACTAATGACACATTTATTCAATCAAGCCAAATGACCGATGACCATCGGTGCTGGGAAAGAAATCAGTGGTTTCTGAAAGCTCATTTTATTCATACCGCTTTAAAAAATAGGATCTGCACCAGAATTCAAGGGTTGGTCAGGTAATCGGAACCACAACATTTTCTTTTTTAGGCCTAAAAGGCAATGCATACATCTGCCTTTATCAGGGTTTTACACCACTCAGAAATGTGCATTTAGTCCACAGGAATTTGTAAATGACACAAAAATATTCATTGTCCCATATTGTTGACAAAAAGTATAAGTGTCCCTTAAATTCAGTACTCATCAAACCTTACGGTAAAGGTGCTCTATGCATCAGTGTACACCATTACCATACTTGACAGGACGTCATATTTCCTACAGGAACCTTTACAATCAATAATTGTGAACTTTGACCCACAGTTTTGTAAGTCAAGGTGAAAACCTAACTATATTCAATGGAAATAATGCTCAGAACTACTTTTCTCTCTCTTAGGATAGTAGGAGTAGAATGTAACATTACTTGAAACCATTTGGATTAACAGTTGATTAAATTTCGGTTTTAATCTGATGAATCAATGTTGTGTACTGTTAAAGTTTTGAAACATGTTAATGAATGGTTGTGGTTTCTCGGGACCTGTGAGTCCTGTTTTCGCATGTGATATGTAGTATGTATATTTGTTAGGCTCAAATTTCTGAAGGATTGGAATTGACTATAAAAGCACTGACAATACTTACTTTCAACTAAGGCAGACCCTGTTCAATATAGACATTACAGTGTTATCACCTGTCTTACATCATGAACTTCTACACAGATAGCTGTCGTAGTGCTGAGAAAGCTTAAGGGAATAGGGCCAAGGCTGTTTAAATTGTCGTTGTCAAATGACAAACTTTTCCTGTTTAGAAGGACAGGAATAAAGGGGTATGCACAAATTAATCCATCAAATGTGAAATATGTTCGAGAATTGTTAAATCTCTTTTAGCACTCTGCAAGTTCAGATGCAGGTAGCATGTGTTTTTAACCCATAAATCTGGTGTTGGCATTATGGCCATTGGGTGTGAAAATGGTGACCTTGCTTTGTTTATAATTAATGCTGGTTGGTGGCAGAGTCATATTGCTTTAGTACACAGCGAGACCTCCTGACATCAGTGACACAGTATTATAAACATAGCATGCCACATTCCAAATGCAGCTAACAGGTTTTGTATGTCTGTAAACATGTATTTCAATAAGCACCAAGATAAAGAATAACATAAATTTTAAAACTGATATGTGATTTTCGATGTGAATGTAGAAACTGTGTCATTTTTAATCCAGTTCATCAGTTGGTTTTAGTTTTGGTTTCACAGAAGTGATTAACATCCGAAGTGGCGGTGGGGTAGCATAGTGGTTAAAGCGTTCGCTCGTCACGCAGAAGACCCGAGTTTGATTCGCCACATGGGTACAATGTGTGAAGCCCATTTCTGGTGTCCCCTACTGTGATATTGCTGGAATATTGCTAAAATGAGTGTAAAACTAAACTCACTCAATCACTCACTCATTGAAACTTACTCAGTAACCACATTAAGTTGACCTACCTTGGTATTACCGGAATACTTTTCAACTGGTATAAAACTCACTCACTCACTCACTCACTCACTCACTCACTCACCTTCTCACTCACTCACTCATATACAATCTACACAGTTATTTCCTGCATAACTTCCCTCAAGTGCAGATTTATGATAGTGTTTGTCAAGCAGCAGTAAAACAATTCAGCCCGAAGTGTAGGAATTGATTTACCATTGTGTTGTGTGAAGTTCCTAACAAGGAGCCGTGAATGAAGATATAAACATTATAGACACACTAACACAATGGACCAAGCTACAAGCACCCTCCAACCATAATATGTCACTGAAATGCTCTTATAACTCATGCCCCTCTACACTCATGTTTACACAATACTGCACAAGGTTTGGTCAGTTACTAACCTTTGAATGTGTGTATGTGTGATGGTACCATGGAAACACAGTAAACAATATAGTCTTTGAAATTCTTTATTTGCATATCTAGTGCCCACTTGGTGTGAAAACAAAATGGACATTGATAAAGCAACTCTGACGTAGGTATTGGATTTCAAGTAAATGGCGATTTGTTCAGGCTGCGAGGTTCTGTTACACGCACCGGGTAGAAACATGGTTACTAAGCTTGCATTGATAGGTTGTCTCGTGTGTGCCGCGTATAGGGGCACAGATAACCAGGTAAATTATAGTTCTGTAACTTTAGGAGTGAGTAATCGGGGTGTAAGTACTTGAAGCGTGTGTCACGATGTGATTGTACAATGTGGAGCGGAACAGATGTAGACACTCGCCCGATTCAAGTCGGGTTGACGTTCACTACGGAAAACTCATGGGTTCCGTCAGGTGTGGTGACACAGTATAGTGAACAGTAATACTTATCATTATCCGATACCAGTTATTACCACAATCAAGATGGTTCATGACTTGAGCATAGAGGTATATCATTGCAAAGATGATGAAGAACACACGTTCCTTGATAGCTGTGTTGCATTAACCACAAGCCAGTAGTAACAATAGTCAGTGAAAAATTGGGGTTTTCTTTACCTTCTTTCAGTAGTAAATATCCAGGTTTAATTTAGCTTGACATAATGTAATAAAGTTTTAATATTTATGGTGAAGACTTTGTGTTTCACCAGGTTGTGAGCACTGGAGTTTTGACAGTAAACATGTTAATGCTTTCATCCTCGATGAGTCAAGAGCTGCTTTATACAATTTGCTGTGTTTAAGTACAAAGAATTGCCATTCCTTCATGAAAGCCCAATAACTTGACAAATTCCTGGGCAGGTCACCAGTAGCTTGTGTTGGTTGTGGACGTAGATCAGTGGTTACGATGACTGAATCATCATCTTTCCATGATACCATTTAAGGAATGTTGTATCTATCAGCATATGTATCTGGTCCACAGACAAATGCAGGGCTTTTCAGGGTATATTTGGAATGACACTGACACACCACTCAATAAGGAAAGATGTTTCATACATTTGGCACCTTCAAGAAAGTGACCAATGAAGTTGTTCAAGCTTTTGTTCGAGTCTGTTCTGTGTCATATTTTATGTATTGTTATTGTTGTATCATATCACAAGCATAAAATTATAATACCCTTTCATCCATGATAGTAATGGAATTATTTATTATCCTGATGGCCTCAACTTAGGAATTCTGGATAAGAAAGGTCGCATGTGACCAATGTTGGTTATAAGAGGTGACCAAACCGTGACTCAGATGGTTCCCTGATTGTAGAGGATGTTTCTTATAATATGAACCACTGATGTACAAACTTTATGGATTACAGCATTTTGTGAGTGCGACGTTTTGATGCACATCCTTGTACCGAATGGTACCTACTTTTCAAATACAACTCGAAGAAGTCGACCATTGATGTGTCTGGCCCCGACTTCATTATGTAGAGGTCGAAGTGATATAAGCTAATTATTGCTGGACAAAACAGCAAACATATAAAATACGATTTTGAGATATGATTTTGTGTTTCAGTGACCCCAGACCTGCATACCAGAATCTACATAGGGTAGTGGAGGATGACGCTTCTATCCGACAGCTGAACTGGGATTTGCTCATCAAGAACATCCGAGCGTACTATCTGGTGAGTCCTTGTTTTGGGGGAGGTTTTGTCTCTTGTTATGTCATGGTCAGGTTATATTAAACAGAACATTGCTTCCAAAGAGACATGGATGCTCTTTGCTTCATATCAAAATCATACCTTTATCCTATTTTTATGAAACACCTCATTTTTGAAAATGCTGGTATTTTTATATGCTTTGTACTAGCAGACATGTAAATTTATTAGCCTGTGACTTCAGCCACTTGTTCGAAGCTCAGACTCGTAAAATTATATTTGATCTAGAAAGTTCACCTAATAATAATCCTTATCATAACACTAAAACCTAGTCAAAGTAGTGTTGTGAGCCATGTTAAGGCAAACATACTGAGACTTTTCTGGAACAAACTGCCATTTCCAACCCAGGCACCCTGTATATTTCTATGGATGGAATTGCCAATTAGAAATGCAAGCCATCGTGAAAAGTCAATAAGTATTTGCCAACTCAGCACTTCTTGAAAATGTCTGACAGTGCAAGTGTAGCATTGCTCCTATATGTGTGTCCTCTTTCCCTTTATCCCACATCCTAAGTTTTGTCAAATCAGTGATATTTCCCCTGCTCTGTTCTGTACATTGTCTGAGACATCGACCTGAAACTGGTGATGTTGATATTGGACCCAAAGATGTTCTAGTTGTTACCATGGAATTTGCATTGCAAGAATCACTGATGCCTGGCGTGGTATTATTTACCCGACAGATCCGGACAAGGAAGAATAGCTACCAATATCTTATAATTACAATTGATGGCAATCAATGACATTCCTGTACTCATGACAAACTTATGAATTAATTATGAAGAAATTCATTGTTTACACACTCTTGAAGAAATACAAAAGGAAATCAATTGATTGGATGATGAAAGTGTCAAATTGTATGTGATAAATGTTTTCAGGCACGATATGAAAGTTATTCATTATAAAAGGAAATAAATGAAAGAAAGGACAGACAGTTAATGAAAATATTTTTATTTTTGTTTAAGGGTCAAAGGGGCGGTGGGGTAGCCTAGTGGTTAAAGCGTTGACTCGTCACGCCGAAGACCCGGGTTCGATTCCTCACATGGGCACAATGTATTAAGCCCATTTCTGGTGTTCCCCGCCGTGATATTGCTGGAATATTGCTAAAAGCGGCTTAAAACTAAACTCAGTCAGTCAGTTTAAGGGTCAAACTGACTTAATTTGATAAAAAGGCAACATATCTTTGAGTTCTTGAAGAAAGTCTAGAGTAGAAATTATTAAAGACTACAGGTCTTGTTTTCTTGATGCTTTTCATTTTTGTTGGGTTTTTTCTGTTATTTTTTAACTAGGTCTTTGTCATGCCAAGGAAAATATCGATGCATTTGATGTAATAACTTAGGTTCCTGTTGGCATGAAGAATGGTAGTTTTCAACAGGAATTTAGCCAACTGGAACCCTGATGTAAGAGATGTATTGTGATAGTCCAAGGTTGTCAGTGAAGTCAGTGTTTTCCTTTCCCACCAGATAGTGGTGATTGGAATGTCAGTCAGTCAGTGGCGTGGATAGCCCAGATAGGTGCTGCAATCATACACTGGGCACTTGTCCAGCATTATCATTTTATGGGGTCATAATATGCCAAAATCTCTGTCCAGGACACTTTGTATCAATATGTCCCTGTTGCCGAGCATGTGTCGTAAAAGTGTGATATCTGAAGCCCAATTGTGGTGGCATTTCACTTGGCCACCCATGTTGGCTTGAGACGTGAACCAACATGGCCACCATAGGCTGGCATGGATGATTGTGTAACTTGAGTGTGGGTTACTTCATATTGAGTGACCAACACCCAATAACAGATTATTATGACTGCATATTTACAGGATATGTTCTCATAAAGTGAACATTATATGAAAGTCTGATGAGGCTAGATTGGAACATTGTATTGCAGTCTGTTGAGGCTAGATTAGACTTGCACAAGTCTCTTAGGTAATAATTCAAAGTTTACATGATAATTTCTATAAAATATGAATAACAGACTGGCATCCATAGACTGTCAGCTTTTCTAGACTTGCCTCTTTAAATGATAGAATTACTATACATCCATGGACTTAGCATTCAGTACAGCCTTGGAGCAAGACTAAGGCTAGATGTGGACTTTGTATTACAGTCTCTTGAGACTAGATGTGAACATTGTTTTCTTGAGACTAGATGTGAACATTGTTTTGCCGTTTGTTCAGGCTAGATGTGAACATTGTTTTGCTGTCTGTTCAGTCTAGATGTGAACATTGTTTTGCGGTCTGTTCAGGCTAGATGTGAACAGTGTATTACAATCTGTCCATGTTCCATGTCTGTGACACCTCCGTGGTGTAGTGGTTAGAGCATCCGCCCGGAGACCGGAAGGTTCCTGGTCTGTTGCCTATCATACAAATAGACGTTATTTAGGTACTTGTTGGTCCCTGCCTGGCGCTCGGCATTAATGGGTACAACAAGGACTGGTCGGCTCGGAGTCAGTATAATGTGTCTGAGTGTGGTATTCATGCTTCACTGCGGCATGGTATCTCAGTGGGCTAGCACTATAAAAACTGGGCTAGTACAAGCAGCCGCATACACATACACTCATCGTCATATGAGCGAAATATTCTCAAGCACGACGTTAAACCCAATTTCCCCTCACCTCACTTAGCACTCAGTACAATCTAGACGACTACAGTATGCTACAATGTAGAAGGCGCATGCTACCAGGTGTCAAAACCAACACAACAATCTCATCAAGAGCAAATGTAAACCACAACCTGTTCACGCTGCATGTAAACATCCTACCAAATGTACTGGCATGTTTTGCATCTAGCCTGACCTCTGATCGGGTAAGATTTGAGGCCTGTATGGAGGGTCAGCTTTGACAAGCAAGTAATAAGGGGATATTGAATGCCCAATATGAATGGTGAACCAGTGCAGGGCTTTAATCCTGTTATTGATTGTGTGTTATGGGAGTGTTGGGCAGGGAGTCGTATAGCAATCGGAGCTAGTCAGGGGTGAAATGTATCCGACAATTAAGGGCATAAACGTCTGCTGTCTCAAATACACATCATGGTCACTCATTTTGGACGAACATGGACAAATCCTATTTTATGTGCTAGATTATTGTACTTGTACAATAAATGTTTCTTCAGGTTTGTGTGATTTCTAATTTGCACCTGTTCATGTGCTGGCCCATGTGAGTCACATGTCTCTTAAATTGACTACTTGAGTTACAATAAGTGGGACAAAGAGCTTTTGTGAATTATTCATGATAGTTCACGTAGTGAGTTCATGCATTTCATCAGTAAATAAAACTGTTAAAAATGGAGGCAGGCTGAAGAAGTTACATTGCAAAATATGCACAGTGTTGTAACTGTAGGGTTTAGAAATGGCTCATCATTGGGTAATGGTGGTTCATGTTACCAGGCTAGCTATTCTCGAAGCGTTCGTAGCCCTACGAACTTCTTAAGCCCATTCTTAACACATTGGGTATGATCAAAGTTAAGAATTCTTAGGGCTACGAACGTTTCGAGAATAAGAGCCCTGGTGTGTCCGGGGCAAGTACTGTGACCCTTCTTAATTCAAGTTCAGATTTTCCATAAACGGTTGTAAAATATATATTGACTTATTAATTCCAAATGGCCTGGTTATAACAATTTTAATGTTTTTATCGAAATATGCACTTTTCCGTGAGCTCAACATAGCCCATCCCATAATATGGACACTTTGTGTAAGTCATGAAGATGGGAACAGAAGTTCTTAGAACAAATTAATTAATGGCAGCATCAAGAATGTTTTTCATATTGTTTGATTAACTTAGATATTTTGACAGGTTTTATATCCCTGGATAAGCATTAATCGTTAGGACAGTCATATTTATCAAGTTTAGTATCCATATATGTATATACATCCTGATAAATGTAGACTTGGAGAACTGATGGACTCAACAAATCTGATAATTTATCATTCTTATCTAATACATGATACTGAATTGAGCATCTGTTGTCCATGTTTATTACATTCAGTATTCTGGGTGTATCTTCTTGACATGTAAGCTGGATTTGATAGGACAGAGTACTTGTCCTATAGAGTAACAGATAATCTAACTAATTCATCTAGATCGAGTCCAGTCAGTCTGACACAAGGCTGTTGTTGTCCTGGTCCATGTGTAACATAAGCAGATGATGGTGTACGCGACTTCTGTAATCACATCACTGTGTGTTCACATTCATCAACAGATTACAGTGACATTTACTGCAGTGTTTATGTTACCAATTGCATTGTCTCCTACGGGTTCTGGGAAAAGTACAGGTTCCCAGCGACCTGCGAATGTCGTGAGAGGCAGTTAAACGGTCAGACTCAGTGGCTTGGTTGATTGCATGTCATCGTGTTGCTCATGTTCTTAACCACTGGATTAGAAGATCCTGACTCGATATTTGCAGAAGGTCGTCCTAATCTTTGGGTTTAAACAACAGAAAACCAGGGCAGACGGCAGATGAAGTTCAAACTTTGTAAACAGTTCTAGACTAACGGGATCAGGTGGTCAGGCTTCGCTGACTTGGTTGACACGTCATCAGTTCCCAATTGCGCAGATCAATGCTCATGCTGTTGATCACTGGATTGTCTGGTCCAGACTTGATTATTTACAGACCGCCGCCATATAGCTGGAATATTGCTGAGTGCGGCGTAAAACTAAACTCACTCACTCACTCAAGAATAATTGTTGAAATTTTTGTCTAAGTTGATGATCAGAATGATTTGGGAATTTTGTGTACCATTGTCGAAATTCCATGATATAGTTCCATGGTCGACCAGCTTTCTACCTCAGCATGCTCTTTAAAAATACCGATTGCATTGCAGTAATCTCAATCTGTAATACACGTTGTTACCACTGACTAGAGAGGCAGTAGTTAAAGAGAAGTCTGGTGTGTCACTAGGAAGATTGGGAATAATCACCTATAGTGTCTAAATGTACGATATCTTGGGGTTGGATATGACAATTATAAACGTTAGGGAG